TTCTAGGACCAGCAATATCAAAAGCATGGGTGAATTAGATACATACATTTTGAGCCTGGTTGTCAAATGAAAAAATTAAGATGTGATTCTTTTTGTCGTAAGCCCCATTTAAGTTGTACATAAATTGTAAATTAATTGGAATGATTTTTCTGGCAGGGTGCTCAAGGAGAACCAGGAGCAACAGGTGACATTGGTCCTCCTGGAATAGGGGTTTGTTCAAATGATTTGTTTTTGATGTGCTTTTTTTACCATTTTGTGGTGTTTAAACCACTGCCTCTGCACTGGTGGGTGCTTGGGGTATCTAGTAGTTCCCTTTGTGGCCTGTAGCCAGCTAGACATGCAGCCAGCCTTTATTCTATAATCACAGTCCCAGAGCTACCGAAGCCTTTATAGCCTTCAGCCTTCAGCTACAAAGCTGAGAAATCACTGCTGAAAAATTAAGAAGCTAAACTGCGGCTAAACACTTGAAGAGAATAATAAATTATTATTACTACTATACTACTGACAGAAGAACATTTGAAGACAACTGCAAAAAACTGCTCATGAAAACTTGGGAGACAGCTGTTTAAAGACTGCTAATTGTGGCAGTTGACTTTTTTAAATGTTCCTTTTTAATTAATTTTAACTGGCAAACTTCTGTTAAATGGACATCACAACAATTAGGTATGCATATATAATAATTGTTGACAAAGTTTGATTCCCTTTGCCATAGGGAAGCCCAGGAACTGATGGACCCCCTGGTAAACCAGGACAAGATGGCAATGATGTAAGTAAAATAAATGTAAAATAAATGTATCTCCTTCTTTTGAGCTCACATGGATAATTTTTTTTTGTGTGGCAACCATCTTTTGGTGTAGATCAATTAGAGCATGCACAGTTCAATTTTTGAATTAGTGAAGAAAGCCAGATGTTTTGGAACTATAATCACATGAAATGTTCATTAGCCACTTATCATTTGTGACCCTCCATAGGACTTTGATGCTAAAGGTCAGATAGCACACTCACAACATGCTTCCAGTTTAGAACAAAGGAAATCAGTTTTAGCACACATAAAGTGTGTCCAAGAGCACACTTCATTAGCAAAATCTTTTGTTTCATAGAACACACTAAAAACAAATAAAGCGTGACCTGTTGAACAATGTAGCATGAGCAGTTGAACATGGAAGCGTGTTAACCTTAGAAAACAAAAGCTACTGTGCGAGACGACACAACACACTTAGCATGCGAGATGACACAACACACTTAGCGTGCGAGATCGCACACAACAATTAGGCTAGTGTGTCCACCGTGTCAAAAGAACTTTAAAAAACGAGTGGCTGAAGTAGTTAAAATGAATATCGATGCATAGTTACTTACCATTCTTGAATGAGCCTATTGACGAATGATAGTCAATTCTGCTTGTTGTCAGGCATAAGCTTATTGATTTTATTTCAACCTTCTGGCATACACCATCGATTGCCATTTTTCGAGCATAAAAGACAATGAAATTCAGCTTCAAAGTCAACGTAACTCATTGCTTTTTGCAGTTTCTTCGAAGAAGTTAAGTCTTTAGTCGGATTTACAGTACCCAGCGGTGTACTTTGCTGTTTTCGATCTTTTTCTCGGTCATAAACATCAACCATTTTAAGTCTTGTGTATTGGGTTGTAGATATATTTTCTCGGACAAACGCAAAACAAATCTCGCATGGTAAAGTTTGGGGAATATTTTTTTGAGCGGGTGAATAGCATGATGACCAAAGACCAAAAGCGTTGTTAATTGCTCAAAGTAAACACAAGCATTCCATGCCAGGCACCAGCTTTGTCAAAATTCAGTTCCAGTGTTGGCGCAGATTTTACTCTAATGAATTTGAACAGTAATTTGAAACCTAAAAACACTACTACAAGTGAAAGTATTTATATAGTAAGTATTTAGTATTTATATAAACAGACTATGCGCTTCTTCAAATTTTCGGTTGTCTTTGTAGTTTCGCTCGCCAAATTAAGATTAAGCTTTTCCAAACTCTCAGCCTTCATTTCCAAGTGTTCCATCACACTAAAATATCACAGAAAGTTTGGAGTCTCTTAGGGCTGGGAATAAACATAATTAAGCTGCATTTGGTTTCGCGAGCGTTCCATAGTGAGAAGAATATTTGTTGCTAGAGTCTTGCTGGTTTTAAGAAGGGGACTGTTGTCTGACTTGGATCTCGCTTATGACTGGCCATAAATTTTCGAATGGGAGGGTTTGAATATGGCCCGATCAGACGCACTTGGCAGCACACATGTCTTGCTCTGTTCTTGCTCAATTCTTGTTTGTTTGTCTTGCTCGTGTCAGCCGAATCATCGCCATGACTTGTCATGTTTGATTTGCGCTGATTAGCATAATTTTTTGTGGCTGGTGTCTCACCAACAGTTTTCGTACGGGGCACGCCATCGATTGCACACTAAGCATGCCATTGATCACACACTAAGCGTGCCATTGATCGCACAGTAAAGCGTGCTATCGATCGCACAGCTATATAAGCGTGCTACCAATCACACACTAAGAGAAACAAAAGATTTAGCGTGTTAAGTCTTGCAAAACAAAACAAGTGTGCTCTTCTTTGTTAAATCTATGCAGAATCCGTGTTGTAGGACACACTAAGCATGTTGGGAGCATGCTATCATCTTTAGCTTTAAATTTGTATGGAGGGTCACATTTTGAAGCAACAGCTGACAAATAGAAACTTCCCTTGACTTCAAACATTTACAATATTTGAACACAAAAACAGAAGATTGTGTATAATTTGGGAGCTCCCAGTGTAATCTGCACTAATAAAGGCTGATAGTTTCTAAAGAAACTGTTTGGGGCTGCGTCGGTGAGAGTAACGAAATAATTTGAATATATCAACAAAGTTTAAATGGTAAATTGGCCACCGTTATGATTATAAAAGCTGACGTTTCGAGCATTAGCCCTTTGTTGTATCGAATAGGGGAATTGTGGGTTGTGTGTGCTTTTAAAGGCAGAAAAAGGAGCTACGTGATTGGTGGGAACATGGCAATGAGAAAAACATGAATAAATTAGTGGAATGAAAAATGTTCGTTGATACCTGTGGAGTTTAGACTGCTGGTTTGAAAGATGAGCTTTTTTTCAAGAGTTTTCCGGCTTTCTGTGCTACCTAAGTGTAAGGAAAGACCGCAGATTGCCATGTGTTGCTTAGAGTGGTTAGGTAAATTAAAATGTCTAGCGTCTGGTTTCGATGTGTCCTTGTCATTCCTTTCCACGTTGCGAAGGTGTTCTCTGTGTTCGTGAAGGTGTTCTCTGTCAAACCGGCGTCTAAATCCCACAGGTATCAACGAACGTTTTTCATTCCACTAATTTATTTGTTTTTCTTGTTGCCATGTTCCCACCAATCACAAAGCTCCTTTTTCTGCCTTTAAAAGCACACACAACCCAGAATTCCCCTGTTCGCTCCAACGAAGGGGTAATGCTCGAAACGTCAGCTTTTATAATCCTAATGGTGGCCAATTTACCATTTCAACTTTGTTGATAAATTCAAATTATTTCGTAATCTGCACTACCCTTATCTTTTTACCTAGCTTTTATTTTTCTTATCACCATAACTGCAATTATCATGAGGGATGCTTATAAATCACTCGAGCCAAAATGTCCAATGCCTTGAACTTGTTGAATTTCCATGTAGTTTTAAGGANTTGTAGATCAATAAGAAAAGTATAGTGTCTTCTCCCAAAACTTAGTGCCATAGGGACTTGCAGCTTGTAGAAATTGTTGTATTTCAAAGGGACTGTTTCAGAATGTTGCCTTAATTTAGTCCCAGATCTCTTTAGTAATTCTTCCTACTGTATGCCATACAATTCTTATGATGTTAGTTTGGAAAACTTGGTAATGGATCAACTAATAATCCCCTAATTGATATTTTTCTTTATTCTCATCTTTTGTCTGCTTGATTTTGTAAGGAGAAAATTAATACCGTCTTGGTCACTTACGGTAGTTGAAGGGTGAAGCTTTTCATTAAATGTAATCAGTTTTTCTGGCTTCAAGTTTCATTCTCTTTTCTTTCAACCTCATCACTTAACATTATAATGTGACCCAAGGTATTGGGAAAAAATTGATTGATGAAATCAAGGATGAAATTGAACAGTAACATACATTTTGTTTTCATCAGGGCCAACCAGGACCACCAGGACAAATTGGAGAAACTGGAGTTCAAGGAAGTGCAGTAAGTCCCTTATGCTGATTTAAAAACAACAAGGCTTAAATGCACTAATTTTCCACTTGGCAAAGGTCAAGGTGTCCTGTCAAACCCATTTGAACAGACACTGTCTGTTGACTGGCCATTATTTGGAGCCAGACAGTGATGACCAAAAACAGGAACAGCAAATGCCTACCAAAAAACCTGGACCATTAAAGATTTAACCAACAAGTATTTTTATAAGTAATGTTTGTGAACTTATATTGTTGATATTTTGTTACTTTATAGGGACCAAATGGTGTGCCTGGTGTACGAGGTCTCCGTGGTGTGAAGGGTGACATGGTAAGTGAAAGATGACATGTGCTTAAAGATTTGCAGATCAAGTGAAGAAAGTCAAATTATTGCCAAATTTGTAGTTTCCAGTGGCGAGGTTACTCTTTACAATCTAAAGATGCAGTCAGTACTTTGTAGCTTTCAGTGGTATAATGGCCGAGACAAAATCATTTGTATTTTTAGTGTATTTCTCCTAGAAGGCTAACTGGCTACTTACAATAGTCATAATTTTGCAATCTAACTATTATTTGGGGTGGGATGGGTGGGTTATAAATATAGTTATATTCTATTGTATTTACTATGAGTCACTGGCTCATTGTACATCTTGAATTGAAATAAATGTATCTATCTGTCTATCTATCTATCTATCTATCTATCAAATAGATTTTTATTTTTACTCATGTTTCTTATTCACTTAGCTAGGCTATTGTTCTCTTTGAGTGCATAGACTTGTAGGTTCCAATAGGTTCTTATATCTTTGGCCGTGTTTAGACTTGAGCGTGCTACCAAGGTATTGGAGTTGACTTACCTACTAGGTAAATATTTCTCGTGTGTAAACACCAACTGATACCCTGGTAAACACCGCTCAAGACAATAGAAAGTTAACTAAGGTAAAAGTTCGGTTTACCCTGTGAGCAGGCATGGTTAAGGTTGGTAACTAAGGTTTGGATGACAGATACATCCGCTTGCGGTCGCATAGAATTTCACATCCCGCGGTGTCGAGATTGCACCAGTCTCATTTGATCACATTTTCGAGACCAGATTTTCATGTTTGGTTTCGGTCTACGAAGAAGTTAGGGCAAAAAACGTACGTCTTGATATTCTAAAGTTCTCCTTCCACCATTCTTCAACAAAATCTCCGTTTAATAGAGTTTCGAACCAGAATTGGTTTCTCGGCCACGACCACGCACATCTAACGCGCCTTGTCTTGCGAAGGGCAATTTGTAGCAGAATTAATCGCTTTCTCCTCGACCTCTTTAGGTGCTGCAAAAGTAAGAGCAGCTGCAATCTCGATTCCTGGGTTTGCTGATCAAGAACAAGAAAATAAAATGCGAGGCCTACAAGAGCCACAGCTTCTCTTTTAAACACGAGCATTTTATGTGTGGATTTAGAATTTGCCGCCAATTCGATTAGATTGTGATTGATGACAGATTTACCTTAGTTATTTGAGCCAGTATAAACGCTGTACAAATGTACCAAGGTTTAGTCAGTTAATGTTTACCTTGGTAAATGCTTGAGTGTAAACATGGGGTTAGTTACTTTTGCCATAATTTTATCTTATGATATTGTGAAGCGTGACTGAATAATTTATATTCATATAGAGGTCTGCACTATATAAATGTAAATTATTATTATTATTATTATTATTATTATTATCTATTATTTCATCCCAGGGATCACAAGGAGAGCGGGGTGAAAGAGGAGATAAAGGAGAGGAAGGAGAAACAGTAAGTAACGAAGATTCCTTTCATTTTTGTGTCTGAGTTCATTGCTTTAATTTATGAAACAAATATTGAGTTTGGCTGTTACTTGGCCAATTGTTTCGAAATATTTTGGTTCCAGGTCAGTTTGTTTTAGTAAAGTGTTCTTTACCCTTGAGGATGCTACATTGGTAATAGGACTTGCCTCCAACAGCTAGAGGTGTGGCCAGCTTTTTGACATGTTGAAGGCTTGTACCCAAAAGAGTTCAATTTTTGTTTCAAATATTCAAGAGTTATCTTATACATGTAAAAGTCAAGGGGTTGGAAAAAAAATTGTACACCTATAGGCCTACGGGACTATGGGCTGGCTATGCCACAATTCCTTGACCTGGCTTCATCCGTGGGCTGAGTGTGTTTTTGGTTTTTTGTCTGCTGGTTTTCCTCACTCTGCTAAAACCTATGTTCCAAATTCCAATTTGACTTGGCTGAGCAGCTAGTGGAGAAGGACAGCCACCTTTTGGAATTTCCACAGCTTAAAATTCTTGCTGTTGCAATGGCAGGGAAAAAATAAATTTGACTACTCACATAACCTGTGTATGATGGTTTTGAAGTAATAAGCTATAATGCTTTTACTATTTCCTGTCAAGCTCCCATTGCAGAAACGTGTCAGAGGTCTCAGGGTTGAGAGTGTGGTTGTTTTCCATTTGTTGGAAAAACTAAGATATTCAAATGAAAGATCAACTAAATTTGAGAGTCTTAAGCCAGAATAGAAGTGTTTAGAGGAGGAAAATGGCAAAATGACCGCTCTTCAAATATCACCTAAGATAGAGAGTTTGTATGGATTGGGTAGACAGGCCAAAAAATTTTAAGTAATTTGAATATATCAACAAAGTTGAAATGGTAAATTGGCCACCGTTACGATTATAAAAGCTGACGTTTCGAGCGTTATAGCCCTTCGTCGGAGCGAATCGGGGAATTGTCGGTTAATGCGTGTGCTTTTAAAGGCAGAAAAAGGAGCTACATGATTGGTCACGTAGCCCCTTGAGAAACTATCAGCCTTTATTCAAAAAATTTTAAGGGTTTGTATGGAATTTTTGCAACTTTTGCAAGGCTCCGATTTGGACACTTTTGCGCTGAAAACTCTCAAACTTGAGTAGCTTTTCATTCAGTAACATTTCATTTGAAATGTTTAGATTTTCAATGTAATCAATATAAGAAACTCGTCCCAGTCCTCTCACGTTTCTGCAATGGGCTATGAGGATTAAAGTGAGAAAAATATTGGCATAAAATGCCATGGGATGTTGAGAAAAAATTTACCTTTCCTTATTCTATCTTTTTCTGGCAATCATCTTATTATTTTAGGTCACAAAATAATGGCTTTACAAGAAGTCAAACTTTTAGCCTTTCTTAAGTGCAGAACTTCTGAAATAAGAATTGAAACAGGGTTCAAATTGGATATTACAAGGGCATGATGCTCTCAAGAACATAATGTAATACACGGATGTGTTTCTATAGGGTCCTTCAGGTGAGGCTGGAAGGGATGGACAAGATGGATTAAAGGTGAGCATATAGTTTTTGTCAGTCACTTGTTTTTTGTTTTTCTTTTTTTAAAAGCTCTTCAAAATTATGAAGTTATGTTGTCATTAGAACATTTGTGATAGGGGAACAAAGTTTAACCTAGTAAATTAATCCCAACAGCTGCCTGCCAGGTATGATGGCTGGTGATATCTGTGTCTGAGAGATTGTCTGAAAAATGAACATTTGGGTAAGAAGATAAGCTTTGAGGGCAAATGTGAAATTTTGAGGACACTATCAGCCAATGTACCAGCAAGCTAGAAGGGGATTTATTTATTTTATAATCCTCCATTAGTTTTCATATGCCATATTGATTGACAGCAAAATTTTGTCAACTCTTTTTGTTCTTTTTGGAGCGGTATTTGAGATCAGCTCTTCATGTCACTACCAGTGGGAAAAAAAGTGGACTCTACAAATTAGTTTGTTTTTCTTTCATGTAAAGTAATGAAGATGAGAAAGTGAACAAACACTTTCTGCTGGCTTTTTCTGCCACCTTTGTTTCTTTTCAAAAGAAATAATAGGAGGACAATAATATTAATGTAATTGGGGGTTATTGTGCAATAACTGTTCAGTGATTTTGTATCATGTGTGAAGTAAAGAAGCCAGTAGAGTCATGCAAAATTTAATGGGTGGGTTATAATGTCAGATAGTGCTGTACATGAAATTTTAATGACAATGCCGGCAAACCAATGAAACAGATTGTTCAAAGTATATAATCCATACATTTTACTCATAGTTTGTAATTTTGCATGTATAAAAATGATGCTTACCCTATTTCAGGGAGACCCAGGAGTTCGAGGTAACACAGGAGCTCCTGGAACAAATGGCGCAGCTGTAAGAGAATTTTGAGAATTAACCCTTCACATACTAAATAATTTGGATAATTATATCAACAAAGTTGAAATGGTAAATTGGCCACTGTAACGATTACAAAAGCTGACGTTTTGAGTGTTTTGACGTTTTGATGTTGGAGTGAATAGAGGAATTGTGGGTTGTGTGTGCTTTTAAAGGCAGAAAATGGAGCTAAGTTATTGGTGGGAACATGGCAACGAGAAAAACAGGAATAAATTACATACTAACATCTGTAGGCATATTGTCCAAGCTTCTTTAGTTGGTGATCATTTCCTTCATTCTCATAACCTTAATGTTTGATTCAGGGGTGATATTGTAAGGAGAAATTAGATGCTGGTCACTTTTAAAGGTTAACCCTTTATCCCCCAAGATCTGATTGTTAATTCTCCCTTCTAGCTGCTAGATATGTCCCTGTAAACTAGTTACAAGAATTGGGAGTTAGATCAAGATAAGTTCTACCAGACAAGTTTGGGTATTCCTATTACCTGTTTGCTAGATGATGACTTGTGTGGATATTATCAGGAGAAATTACATGTTATAAATCACTTCTGGGAGTACAAGGATTAGAGGGTTAAACCTGGGGGCTGTTCTGGATTTAAATAAGTAAAGACTTCCTAGTGATGTCTAGAGAGTGGAAATTGTGCATTTTTCTTTCAGGGTCCTACAGGACCAGCTGGAACAAGAGGACCAGAGGGTGCTGCAGTAAGTGTTCATGATAACCTAGATGAAAGCAAGCTACGCTTGTTAGCATAGTCGGAAGCTAAGGGGGAAGGGGTGGGGAATTAGGTGGGGGGAATGGGGAGAACTCCTTTGTTTAGCATCAGTATGTTCCATCCAACAAACTGTTGTTTTTAGTCTTTTCTCCTTGTCCTGTAAGTATGATTAGCATTTTTAACAGGATACCTTCCAAGATTGTATATCATTAATTGGGCATGGATATTGGCTATGTGTATCCTGCATGTGTGGTGCTAAGAATTTTTCAAATCTAATGCTGAAAATAAGGTCTGTAATTTCCCAGACTTAGCAGAAGGTATTGGTAATTCATGAAGCAGAGGTCCCACAATAATAACTTACAGTTTTTCATCTGAAACTGGGTAGCCAAATTACAGGGTTTATTTCTTTCCAGGGTCAAGGTTTAAAAACAGTGGGGGCATACCCAACTCAGTTTCAGCTTAAGCACCCCCCTCTCCTTACAGCAGGCAGAGTGGCAAGTACAAAGTGAAGAGCATAGCTGAGGCCCTCTCTGCACTACATAGGAATACTTGTACCTTGAAAATGCAACTAAATTGCTATTCTTGAATTGTACTTCATGATAATTATAATATACTGAAAATTCACCCCAAGCCTCATTAATTTTGCACCAAATTTTTTTATGAGTCCTTGCCTCTTTCTTGTTGTTTTTATATGGGTATTCTTTTAATTTTGGTGTTTTGAGAATACTTTCCATTGAATAAGAATTCTCAAAAAAGAAACAACAACTTTGAGTTTAAATTTACAAGACATGTTTCGACATTCTCATGTCATCTTTGGTTGCAAATGAGCATTTAACTGTTGTAAATTTGAATTTAAATTTAGGTACGTTACAAACTACGTGTCAGGGCTTACATTACATTTCAATGTTAAAAATGCGAAAGATGTAAATAGCGCACGCTTGACTAGATCAAAAAATAAATAGATAAATAAAAAAAATAAATGTAATAATAATAAAAATAAATTAAAAGACCAAGGAATAACATAATTAAAAGGAAAGACACAATTCTAGATGTTTCAATTACTGATTAAGGATAGGTTTTTCCCACTTAATATGCAATGCCTCTTTGATCTTAATTTGGTATTTTGAAGCGGCAGAATCTAAGATCGTGAAACATTCAGTATCACAAGAATCAAGACAGGCCCTTGATGATTGCGGGTGCTTGTAAATATGCGAAGTTTTGTCCGACAAGAGGTGCTCACGAACTCGTGTACAAATGTGGCGAGTGGTCTCACCAATATAACTGACATTACAGCCAGCAAATGAAAATTTATATATGACACGCGAACGTAGACCTAGCGGTA